AGGCGGGGTCTCGCTCTTGCTCAGGCTGGTCTCGAACTCCTGAGCTCAAACAATCCGCCCGCCTCGGCCTCCTAGAGAGCTAGGATTACAGGTGTGAGCCACCGCGCCCGGCCAACTAAGAAGTTCTTTTAAAAAAATTTGCATCTTTTTTATTGTGGTAAGATATATATAACATAAAATTTACCACTTTAAACATTTTTAAGTACAATTCAGTAGCATTAAGTACATTCACACTTTTGTGCAATCATTACCACTATCCATTTCCAGAAATTCTTCATCATCCCAAACTCTGTGCCCATTAAACAGTAATTCCCACAATTTCCCCCTTTTGCTGACCTTTATAATCTCTATTCTACTTTTTAACTTTGTGAATATGATCATTCATGTAAGTGGAATCATACAATATTTGTCCTTTTTGTCTTATTTCGCTTTGCATAGTGTTTTCAAGGTTCATCCACATCGTAGCATAATTAAGAGTATTTTTGTTTAAACTTCGTTTCAGGCCACAGAATTTATCAAACAAAACATTGTGATATCCAGTGGATTTGTGGGAGGCTTTTTGCTAGGCCTTGCATCTTAAGGACATGGATGTTCTACTGTAGTGGATTCAATAATGAGAAGTGGTGGCAACAAGGTGGTCTCTCAACAGTACGTGCCGCCAGAGTCTCCAGGGCAAGGAGAAACAACTAGCTGGACAGTACTAAATCCACAACTTAGCATTTTGCCATCTGAAGCTTGGCAACCTTGAATCTGCTGTTAAACAACCTATATGTTATGTTAACAATAGTATTCCTGAGCAAACATGGCTTTTGTCATTTTTTAAAAATTTGTGTCTGTTTAGAAATTAGCCTATAAAATATCACTATTGGGTATAGATATGAAGAGAAAAAATCTGTTGGATCGAAATATGATTTTATTTAAATCAGATGTTCTTCATTGTGTTTTATGGTATAGTGCCAATAATTAAAAATTTGCATTATAGCTTCAATATTCGGGCTGACTTTTTGTTTTAAAGATATGTTTGCAGTAAATTGAGGAACTGTAATGCCCTTTTGTGGAAAGCTTTAGAAGGAATATAATTATTAAAGATATTAAACAAAATCTACTGACTTAATTTAATACCAATTTTAAGTTGTTTTTTTTTCCCTGCAGTTCTTACTTATATAATAACTGTACATTTCAAAAAAGGCTCTTCTAAGGGAATACTACATGTCTAAAGATCTTTTTCTTTTTTTGGTATCTGTAATTTTAAAAGTACCTTCTTATATGTAAGCTTATAATTTTTTTGTTTGTTTATCCTGGCAGCCTAGGCAAAGCTAATTACTTTGGGGGTACATATATATAGTTGAATCACTGATTCATCTTATCGACCTTGACTGCATCTCCTTTTCTTTCTGAAAAATCCTAATTGGCCCCTTCTTCACTAAGAGGTAAAAATCACTTTAAAATACTTAGTAGTATAGTGTGAATTTGCTGTCTGAAGAACAGTGATTTTCTGTGTAATGAAATTGTAGCTTAAAGAGAACTGTCTCCTTGATGTAGTCTGAGATGTTAAGTACCAAGGCTGTCAGGCTTTTGGTGACATTATGTTGGTTGAACACTAGGTCAGTTTGCTTGTTTCTCAGAGCTGGTATCACACTCTCCAGAGGCTCATTTGCCCAAAAAAAGCTTTCTGTATTGTTTGTTTTGTCTGTAGAGCTCTAGGTTGGAATTGGGAAAAACAGTAGAATGTGTATTGAAGTGTTCAAATTGGAAAGACTTTGCAGATGTTCAGACCATTTCCTTTTGACAGGAAGTCCCGATAGTATATTTTCTATATTGTAAACACATGACATTGCATACTTTGAAGATCGGTTACAGGCTGCATGCTTTCATAATCGTGAGACTCCTTAAAATTGAATGTGGCATTGATCTTTAGTTTCTTCTTTTATTATCGTTAGTGCCTCAGATATAATGCTAAATAAAATTCAGACTTTCCTAAGATGAAGTGATTTTGCTTATAAACACTTGTTTTTTCTTCTTTGAGCTTTTCTCTATTTCTGCCTTGCTGAACACAGCTTTTCATTGCTGTTGAATTAAAAAGGGCAAATATTCACGAATATGATCAGGTCACATTAGGTAGAGCCTCGGCTGCACTTCTGTGTGCCGCTTACGCTTCTGCGTGACACTGTGATACAGTGAGGCAGGCTACGGTGGGGAGCTCTAGTAGATGGCTCAGTTTGTTCATTCTGAAAATACTTAGGGTGTCTGTTCTGTGCATGATACACTAGGAAAATGGGGGGCACAAAAATGTCTGCCCTTGAGCTTTCAGTTGAAGACACTAAAGTATTCCTATATGAATAGTTATATAATAATATAGGAGAACCTGGCATATGACCTAGTGGCGAATGAGGAGTAGAGATAACTACTTTGAGAGTCCAAACATAAGAATGAAAATTGAAAAAGGTAGCACTTCATTTTTGCCTATACATTTCTCAGTATCTTGTAATGCTTGAAAATATTTGTATGCAAGTACAAAATATTACCAGTACTCTCCGTACTGTCCCATCTCTGTTGGTATTCCTCATTCTGCCTCCTCTCTATGCTGTTTCTCTGCGTGGCAATTCCAGTGAATCAGAGGCTCCATCAAAAAGACTGTGGGGCTTGCTTGCAATGAAATGCCTGTATAGCCTGCCTTTGTCTAAAGTGGAGATTTTTATGTTTGAAGGCATAACGGCTGTTTGCAAGCTTTATTAAAACTTGGGTATATGAGGGGGCTGGGGTGGAGAAAAAAAAAATTGGGTATATGGAATGTATCTATTTTGAGACCTAAGCTTTGAAAGATATGTAGGGGCATTTTGACTGATTTTATTTTTATTCTTATAGCCCTTCCCATTCCCCCTTATAAGATACATGATTTTTAATGTGTTTTCTTATTTCAAATATAATATGAATGAAATGTTCATTATAGAAAAATAAATCAGCTTAAAGAATATGTAGAATGTTTATAATATGTACTTAGGGATAATTATTTTTCATATCTTGGTGTGTAGTCTTTAGAGTCTTTTTTATCTGTGCATGAACATGTGTATGTGTGTATATTGTAGAAAAATTGAGTCATAGTTTATGGACTATTTTTTTCACCTACCTCTCTTACACAGAAAAGTCCTACTTTACAAGTAAGCTATTTTTAGTTATATATTATGAATATCTTTTTATGATACTAGGTACATACATGACAACGGAAAGGTATGACTGACATAAGTGCCTACCCTCATCCCCTTTATGGAACAACCATTAATAGTTTTCTTGAAGTATATTTTAATATACTTACTGTCAAAGTTTGGATAGTATATATTGAATGTCCACTCTGGAAGGTGAAAAATTTTGTGTACATACATGCCGGACTTTTGTTTGTTTTGATTGCTAATATGTTTTAAGTTTTTCTAATGGCTTCCTTTATTATTTTAAATATTATATTTTAATTTTTCAGTCTTTATTTACCAACTTTAGGTAGTATCTGCTAATTCCCTGTAATGAAAGATGAAGACAATAGAGCCTCTCTTCTCTCCTGGTTTTTATTAAATTACTATTATTATTAAATTATCATATATTCAAATCCTAGAATTCTATATAATTTTCTTTTTTTTAAGAGATGAGATCTCACTGTGTTGCTCAGGCTGAAGTGCAGTAGCTATTCACAGGGGTGAACATAGCACACTACAGCCTTGAACTCCTGGGCTCAAGCGATCCTCCCACCTGAGACCTCCTGAGTAGCTGTCTGCCACTACACCTGGCTCTATACAATTATTAAGAGCAATGTAGAGCTGTATACATTGATCTCAGATGATATCCACATGTTAGTAACAGAATCAGGTTACAAACAGCTATTGCATTTTTTGGAAAAAAATACCCAGGTGAGTATAAGTATGCACACAAATGTTCATAGTGGTTATCTCAGAGAGGTTGGTATACAGGATTTTTACTTTTTTTCAACATTTGAGTACATGTTAATTTATAGTTAGAAAAAATTATTGTTTTAGAACCAGGAATAGGGATTTAAAATTATTAGGTTATTGCTATCTTAGGAGGCTTTTTCTTCTTTTCTGCTTCATTGAGTTTATTTTTTAAGTTTTTGAAAATTTTTATTTATTTATTTAGAGACAGGATCTCGCTATGTTGCCCAGGCTGGTCTAGAACTTCTGGCCTCAAGTGATCCTCCCGCCTCAGCCTTCCAAATAGCTGAGATTACAGGCGTGAACCACTGTGCTCGGCTATTTTTAAAGTTAATTTTATCAAAATATTGCACATAGTTCAAAAAATCAAATAGTTATTATAAGGCTTCTAAAGAAAACACCTCTGCTCCACCTGTCTCCAATTTAGTGGCTTTTTCCCCCAGAGAAGTTTCAACTATATTGTTTCTTTTGGTAATTACTACAACCATATTTTTTAGAGTTTCTATTATGATAAATGACTTAGACTTCGTATTATGGTAGATGTGGATTTAGCTCTATTAACACCTTCCCTTTCACATCCTTGTAGTAACAATTTATTAAATTCCTACAAAGTTTTATACATTATGACAAATATTGTTTACTGTTGAATAAGGACACAACTTCCTATAGGTTCCCTTATGTGGGTTCAGCTGGAATCTAACGTTAGCCTGATCCTACAGACAGCTCTGGAGCATGAAAGGCACTGTGGTCGGCAGAATGATGGCTGACCTAAGATGTCCACGTGCTAATCCCCTGAACCTGTGAATAAATTAGGTTACATGGCAAAGGGGAATTAAGGTTGCAGATGGAATTAAGGTTGCTAATCAGCTGACCTTAAAATAAGGAGAGTATCCTGGATTATCTAGGTGGGCCCAATGTAATCACAAAGGTCCTTAAAAGAGGAAGAGGGAGGCAGAAGAGAGAGTCGGAGAAGGAGATAGGACTACAGAAGAATGGTCAGACAGATGTCATGTTACTGGCCTTGAAGGTGAAGGAAGAGGGCCATGAGCTAAGGGATACCGGTGGCCACTTGGAGCTGGAAAAGGCAAGAAAACATACTCTCCCCAGAAAGGAACATAGCTCTGCTGACACCTTGATTTTAGCCCAGTGAGGCCCATGCCAGACTTCTTACCCTGCAGACCTGTAAGATGATAAATTTGTGTTGCTTTAAGCCATTAAGTTTGTGGTAATTTGTTAAGCCACAATAGACAACTAATAGAGGCACCGTGGAGTTGTCCCCACTGTGGCAAGGGAGGCTGGCTTTTTGTATCTGCTGGCAGGCATTGGCTGCAGTGTGCCTTCAGGGATTAGGATGCATAACCTCCCAGCCTGGGAGGCCTTGTCCTGAGGGGAGCAATTCTCAGGAGAATGGGGTAACTGTCAGCTAATACTAGAGCTGGCCGGTTGGTGTACTGTCCCAATAAAAGGGATCTGGATGGGGCACCAACAGTCTCCACTATAGCGGGTAAATCTAAGCCAATACTGCATGTGTAAAACAATAGTTATGTCTAGTCAGTTGGTGGAGGGGGAGGACAATAAAACAAGTGTAGAACTGAAATATTTGGAGTTGTGGTGTAAAGTCCTTGTGTTGTTCCAAAACATATCGATTAACCTCACACTTTTGAGTATGCATGCATGTTAGAATTTTAAGGTCAGTCCCCAAGCACATTACTATTGTGAACAAATACATTTCAAACATATAAATAAGCAATCCCATCTAAAGGCAGGAAAGAAGAAAGAAGCATAGAGAAAGCAAGATAAAGAAGAAACATAAAATAAGTTGGCAAAAATAAATCCAAACACAGCAATAATCACACTTTGAAAGAAAAACATGAATAGAATTTGAAATGTGATTTTTTCTTTTTTTTTTTTAAATACGTTTGATTTGCTTGGAACACAATGATTTTATATAAACATCATTCTGTGTAGAATCAAGAAGTGGGCTTAGCTCCATAGAAAAGGAAATG